GAGTGAGGGCACACTGCACCTGCTGCTACCCCTCACCCCTGCTGTGTGATGTCAGGCCTACAGGGTACAGCACGGAAGCCCCCACTGATGGCCCCACCCAGTGCGTGCCCAGGGGCAGAGCACCCAGGGCTGCACCATTTGGGGCAGTCAGGCCTGGCTACAGGGGTACAGCAACCGGAGAGCCAACAGCTGCCAGCAGCTCAGCTGCAGGCTCTGGCCTGGACACAGCTCTCGCTTGAGGGGCCTGGCTAAACCAGATGAGCCAGGTGGGAGGTGTGGCTCAGGCTGCTTTTGCTTTTATTGCCTGTGCTTTGGGACTCTTACCCCCAAAAAATCATTGCTTATGCCGGTGTTTTGAAATGTTTCCTCTATGTTTTCTTCTAGTAGTTTCATGTCTCGATCCACTTTGAGTTGATTATTTTAAAAGGTTTTATTTATTTATTTGAGAGGTTACAGAAAGAGGCAGAGGCAGAGAGAGAAAGAAGGGGGGGAGAGAGAGAGGGGAGAGGGAGAGGGAGAGAGGGAGAGAGGGAGAGAGGGAGAGAGGGGGAGAGGGGGAGAGAGAGAGAGAGAGAGAGAGAGAGAGAGAGAGAGAGACAGGCAGAGAGAGAAAGAGGTCTTCCATCCATTGGTTCACTCCACAGATGGCCACAATGGCCAGAACTGAGCCAATCCAATGTCAGGAGCTAGGAGCTTCTTCTGGATATTCCACATGGGTGCAGGGACCCAAGGACTTGGGCCATCCTCCACCGCCCTCCCAGGCCATAGCAGAAGGCTGAATCACAAGAGTAGCAGCCGGGATTCGAACCGGCAGCCATATGGGATTCTGGCACTGCAGGCAGAGGCCTAGCCCACTACGCCACAGTGTTGGCCCCTTGAGTAGATTTTTTAAAGATTTATTTATTTATTTGAAAGAGTTACACAGGGAGAGGAGAGGCAGAGAGAGAGAAAGATAGAGAGAGAGAGAGAGAGAGAGAGAGAGAGAGAGAGAGATCTTCAATCTGATCGTTTACTCCCCAATTGGCCACAATGTCTGGAACTGCGCCAATCTGAAGCCAGGAGCTAGAAGCTTCTTCCAGGTCTCCCACGTGGATGGAGGGACCCAAGGACTTGGGCCATTTTCTACTGCTTTCCCAGGCCATAGCAGAGAGATGGATCAGAAGAGGAGCAGCCAAGACTAGAACCAGCGCCCATATGAGGTGCGGGCGCTTCAGGCCAGGGCGTTAACCCGCTGCGCCACAGCGCCGGTCCCTTGAGTAATTGTTTGATTAGTGAAAGGTAAGGGTCAAGTTCAGTTTTCTGCATGTGGATATCAAGTTTTCCCAGCACCATTTACTGAAGAGACTGCGCTTTCTCCAGTTTGCATTTTTGGTACCTTTGTCAGAGATCAGTTGGCTGTAGATATGTTGATTCATGTCTGGGGTCACTATCCTGTTCCATTGGTTGGTCTGTCTGCTTTTATGCTAGCATCATGCAATAGCTATGTAGTATGTTTGAAATCTGGTCCTGTGATGCTTCCAGCTTTGTTTTTTGGTTCAGGACTGCTTTGGCTAGTCAGGGCCTTTAGTGCTTCCATATTAATTCTAGGATTGTTTTTCTCTTGTTCTGTAGCGAATGCTGTTGGTATTTGGATGGAGACTGCACAGAATCTGCAAACTGCTTTGAGCATATGGACATTTAATAATATGAAGTCTTCCAGTTTGTGAACATGGGGGTCTTTCCATTTTTCTGTGCATTCTTCAGTTTCTTTAATCATCAGTGTTCTGTAATTTTCATTGCAGAGGTTTTTACATCCTTAGTTAAACTTATTCCAAGGTGAATTGTTCTTTTGCAGCTAAAGTGAATTGGATTATTCTTATAATTTCCCAGTGAAATCACTATTGATGTATAAAAACGCTACTGATCATTGTGTGCTGATTTTGTGTCCTGCAATTCTGAATTCATCTGTCAGCTCCAATAATATCCTCGTGGAGTCTTTTTCTCGGGGTACAGAATCAGGTCATCTGCAAACAGGTCATTTGGCTTCCTTCTTTCTTCCTCATCTGTCTGTTATTCCTTTGCCTTGCCTGATCTCTCACAAGCTGTGAGAGCAGGCATCCTGGTCTGGTTCCAGATCCTAGAGGAAACACTTTCAGTTTAATGTTGGCCATGGGCTTGTTGTACGTAACCTTAATTCTGTTGAGTTGTGCTCCTTCTGTACCTAATGTTTTCTGTAATTTTATCTTGAATGGCTGTGGGATTCATTGACTGCTTTTTCTACATTTATTGAGATGATTGTATGAGTTTTAGCTTTCATTCTGTGATGTATTGTATCTATTGATTTGTGTACTTGAACCGTTCCTGCATCTCTGGGATAAATCCCACTTGGTCATGGTGAATCAGTGATCTTTATGTGCTGCTGGATTCAATTTGCTAGTATTTTGTTGTGAATCTTGCGTCTCTGTCCATCAGAGATGTTGGTTTACTGTTTTCTTTTGCTGTGTTTTTGTTGGTTTTGGAATCAAACTCGTAGGATGAGTTTGGAAGAGTTCCTTTCCTTTCAGTTTTTTGCAATAGTTTGAGAACAATTAATATTTGTTCTTCCTTCAAACTTTGGTAGAGTGGGGCTGGCATTGTGGTGCAGCAGGTTAAGCTGCTGCCTTCCAGCATCCCATAAAAGCATCAGTTTCAGTCCTGGTTGCTCTACTTCCAATCCAGCTCCCTGCTAAAGCTCCTGGAAAAGCAGTCAGTGGAAGATGGCCCAAGTGCCTGGGCCCCTGGCACCCCTGGGGGATACCCAGATGGAGTTCCTGGTTCCTGGCTTTGGCCAGTACCAACCCTGGTTGTTGTTGTGGCCATTTGGAGAGTAAATCCACAGACAGAAGCTCTCTCTCTCTCTCCCTCTCTCTCTCTCCTCCCAACACTCTGCCAAACAAATAATTTTTTAAAAGGTTTTGTAGAGTTCAGCAGTGAAACCATTTTGTCCTAGGCTTTTCTTTCTTGGGAGACATTTTGTTATTGATTCAATCTCATTACTCATCATCGGTCTGCTGTGGTTTTCATGGTAAGTTATATATGCCCAGAAATTTCTTCTAGGGTTTTCAGTTTATGGGTGTATAGCTGTTCACAATGATCCCTAATGACACTTTGCATTTCTGCAATGTCGGTTGTACTATCTCCTTTTTCATGTATGATATTATTACTTGAGTCTTCTCTTTTTTTCTTGGTGAATCTAGCTAACGATTTATGAATTTTGTTCATCTTTTTAAAAAGATTTTTAGGCCAGCGCCATGGCTCACTTGGCTGATCCTCTGCCTGTGGCGCCGGTACCCTGTGTTCTAGTCCCAGTTGGGGCACCGGATTCTGTCCCCGGTTGCTCCTCTTTCAGTCCAGCTCTCTGCTGTGGCCCAGGAAGGCAGTGGAGGATGCCAAGTGCTTGGGCCCTGCACCCACATGGGAGACTAGGAGGAAACACCTGGCTCCTGGCTTTGGATCCGCGCAGCGAGCCGGCCATAGCGGCCATTTGGGGGGTGAAACAACGGAAGGAAGACCTCTTTCTCTGTGTGTGTCTCTCTCTCTCTCTAAATCTGCCTATCAAAAAAAAAAAAGAAGATTTTTATTTATTTGAAAGAGTTACACAGAGGGAAGGAGAGGCAGAAAGAGAGAGGTCCTCCATCAGTTGATTCACTCCCCAGTTGGCCACGATGGCTGGAGCTCTGCCGATCTGAGGCCAGGAGCCAGGAGCTTCTTCCAGGTCTCCCACATGGGTGCAGGGGCCCAAGAATTTGGGCCATCCTCTACTGCTTTCCCAAGCGAATTGGCAGGGAGCTGGATCAGAAAAGGAGCAGCCGGGACTTGAACAGGAGGCCACATGGGATGCCGGCACTGCAGGCGGTGGCTTTGCTACTGAACTGCTTATTAATAATTTTCAATATTATAAGCCTGTGGGCTCTTGCCACGTAGTGAGAGAAGAATTCTGAATACTGGCTCAAATAGACGAGACAACATGGTAAGTTTTAAAGGATTTTATTCAGTGAGAGAAATGCAAGGAGAGTGAGGGCTTTATTTAGGGGAGAAAGAGAGGCCTAGAAGCTAAGTCGGGTCCATACCAAGCAGAGAGCAGGTGGGGTGCTCCCAGGCAGGAAAGCAGGGAGCCACCGGCCAAAGGCATGGGGAACAAGGGAGGGACCCACCATGCTCCAAGCCTTTATCCACTGCCCAAGGGGCGTGGTTACATAGCCTGATTGGCAGGTGGGTAAGGTAGGGGCCTGAGATCACACAGGGCCGTGCTGAAGGCGTGGTCTTCCAGCTCCCAGATCTAATCCATTTTATCCTATCTGCCTGCCTACATCAGCTTTACCTGCTAGCCACAGCGCCGGCCCTGGCCACGCCTTGGACCCTTGCTGTACAATCCCTGGCAAGCCGTTTCTCGCGGAGGCAGGTTCTTTCAGGACCTGTGTGTTCCTACTGTCCCAGGGTCCCCACCAATACCCTCCCTGATCTGACCCGCGACCACCCGCCTGGTCCAGAAATGGAGGCGGCGGGCCCGCGCCCACGCCTGTGACGGCGATCGGGGTGGGGGTGGGCTGCTCGGGACGATGGAGGAGAGATCTAGGACTTGATGGAGTTTGGGGACAAAAACAATGATGGAGGCAGACCTTGGCTTTCTAAAAAATTATTTTTGAATGTCGGGGATAATAAATCCGTCCAAAATCGACAGCGGCAGCTGCTGTTCTAAAGAAAGTCAGAGATCCTGGATTTGAATCCTGCTCAGTGATCTCAAAACCTCCGGTTCATCACCTATAAAAGGCCAGTAACCGTCACTAGTCGCCAGTCCGCCTTGCTGACAAGAGGATAAAGGAAAAGAATGACTCTGGGGCCCCAATTGCGTCCCGAGTAGAAGCCTTGCCCCAATCAGGTATCGCCGCGCCAGGCCGCGGGGCATCTCGGGACTTGTAGTCTGCCTGGAGGAACTCGCGGTCCCGGCAGACACTGCGGCGGCGCCGGCCGGGCTACGTGGCTGGACCTGCTGCGCCTGCGCGGGAAGGTGGGGCAAGATGGCTGCGGAACAGAGCGTGCGGGTCGTCGGACCCCGACCCGGAACCAGGCTAAGCTGGGTGATACGAACCCTTCTGCTGCTGTTGTGGTTTGCGGCCCCCGGTAGCACGCTCTACTTCCACATCGGAGAGACGGAGAAGAAGTGTTTTATTGAGGAGATTCCGGACGAGACCATGGTCATAGGTGCGGGATGTGTAGGGGAGAGTTTGGGAAGAGACCGGGGCGGGGAGCGGGGTGCGGGACTGTGAGTTCCGCTAGCCTCGCGGCGCCGCTCTGAGCTGTGCGCGCCCCGCTTCCCCGCAGGAAACTACCGGACGCAGCTGTATGACAAGCAGCGGGAGGAGTACCAGCCGGCCACCCCCGGGCTGGGCATGTTCGTGGAGGTGAAGGACCCGGAGGACAAGGTGAGCTTCGCGCCACGCAGGCGCTAGGACTTCCTCTCTGTGTCTGTGCTCGTGTGGCAGAGACAGCTGGTGTCGTGGGGAAGATCGGAGTTTCCGGGCTGCTGCCCTGAGCTTCGCCCTGCGCGCCGCGCCGCCAAGCCACATCCCTCGGCAGGTGCGGCGGGCGGATTCATGGCCGTGGTGGAAACCAGACACCCCCCCCCCCCCCCCAGCTGCCACTTCCCACCACTTTTCATTTAATAAAATGCCGCACGGAAAGAGTTGAAAGGATCAGAATACAAGAAGGCGCTTCCCGAGAGCAGCCCCTGGCCAGCCCGATGTCAGTCCCAGAGGTTCTCAGATGAGCTCTGCTCTGAGCAGCTGCCAGTCATTCGGTGCTGGAGGGGCGTGCCCCGTGTCAGCTTTCGTGGTCCCTAGGGCCTTCGTGCGCGCTCAAGCGTCTTGCTTCTTGCAGGTCATCCTGGCCCGGCAGTATGGCTCTGAAGGCAGGTTCACCTTCACCTCCCACACCCCTGGCGAGCACCAGATCTGCCTGCACTCCAACTCCACCAAGTTCTCCCTCTTTGCCGGAGGCATGCTGGTAAGCGGGCCCCTCTGGCACTCCCGGTTCAGCCCCTGTGCCCTGTCCGGGGGCGGGGAGGGGGGACTGGTGGCACTGTAGGGGTCTCCCGGTTAGTCTGTCTCCCAGTTAGTGGGTGTGAGGTGGTCTCTCACCGGAGTTCTGATTTGCATTTTCCTACTGATCAGTGGTGGTGTGCAGCTTCGCAGGGGCTTACTAGCCATTTGGCGGTCTTCCTTGGTGATGAAATGTCCATTCAGGTCCTTTGCCTATTTTGGAATTGCATTTCTGGTTTCTTTCTGTCGCTGAGACTTAGGAGTGTCTCTGTGCATTCCAAGTGGATGCCTGGCACTGAGGACGGCGCAGAACAGTCCTCCTGTGCATCTGTTACATTCTTCCCTGCATACACACACCGACAATACCGTCTGATGTGTAATTAGGTACAGTAAGAGGTTAGCAACAACTAATAATAAAAAGGCAAATGTGGTCTCACTCTGAAAATATCTGGTATCATACCCAGACGCTTCTTGCGGTGATATGTGATGACACAGCGCATATGTGGTGAGTGAAGTGCCGTGAATGGGTGTTGTGACGGCCTCAGGCTGTGGCTTGATGTGTCACAAGAAGCATCGTCACCCAATGAAGATAACAATTGACCTCAGTACCTGAAAGTGTAGACAGCAAGCCCATGGAGAAGAGGTGCCTGCTGTCTGTCACGTTCTGTGTCTCCTAAATGCACTGGTTTTCAGCAGACATCTAGGGCACAGTGGCTGAGTGGCAGCCACGCAGCAGCCCAGGCTTGCCGTTCCTGTGTGCCCTGAGCCCTGGACGGCTGGGTCTGATGGAGGCCTCAGTCTGTTGGCTTAATGGACAAAGGCAGGAAGTCTCAATTGTCAGTCGCTGGCAGGAAAATGGCACAGGGCTGCCTGATCCCCCTCATCTCCCTTGTCTGTCCCCAGAGGGTCCACCTGGACATCCAGGTGGGTGAACATGCCAACGACTACGCAGAAATCGCTGCCAAGGACAAGCTGAGTGAGCTGCAGCTGCGCGTGCGGCAGCTGGTGGAGCAGGTGGAGCAGATCCAGAAGGAGCAGAACTACCAGCGGGTGAGTGCGAGGGCGCGGGCCTGCAGCTAAGGTGGGTGGGGGTGTCACCGTCTCCTCTGTGAAGGGGCACAGGCTTCATAGGCTTTCATTGCCCCGGATTGCAGCTGGACACAGAGTGGCAGGACAGGGGTGGTTGTGTCCATGGCTCCAGGTGCTGCTAGACCGGGGGTCTCATTCACGGGTGACCAAGCACCAGACAGAGGCCGTGAATGCGGCCGTGAATGCATCGCTCACCGCAGGGCAGGCAGGGCAGCGGCCTCTGAACAGGAACAGCCATTGCCCCGGGTTTTCAGATCTTCCGTGGTTTCAAGAAGAACCAGCGACTTGGGTTATTTTATGTGACGTTTTCCTGGGTTTGAAACGTTGGCGAAACATGCAGGAGCTAGACCACACAGGAAGTCCAGACACAGCCTCCAGGCCACCAGTTTGCAAGCTGCATCCACAGTCCTCAAGCAGCAGTTTGGGAGGCCGGTGAGAGGGCTTAGTGCAAGGCCACATCCTTCCTCCAGGTGCCAGGCCGGGTGAGGACCGTGCCTGACACGAGGACGCAGACTTAGAGGACGTGAGTGGCTGTGTGAGGCCATCTGGCTGCTGCGGGTGAAGACAGTTCCCAGCAGTGATCCTGGCAGGCACTTGGCTGTAACCTAGGCAGAGCTGGCTGCTCCTGGGGCAGCCTCAGAGGCGGCCAGCTCAGACTTACCTCCCATTCTCCCTCCACAGTGGCGAGAGGAGCGCTTCCGGCAGACCAGCGAGAGCACCAACCAGCGGGTGCTGTGGTGGTCCATTCTGCAGACCCTCATCCTCGTGGCCGTCGGTGTCTGGCAGATGCGGCACCTCAAGAGCTTCTTTGAAGCCAAGAAGCTGGTGTAGGCGTCTCAGGCCTCACAGGCCATCCTTCTCCCAGGCTGGGAGAAAGGACCTCCTGGAACTGGTTTCTGTCTGGCAGGAGGACTGGTTCCCAGCCGTAGGACCTGGAGGGGAGAGGGGCTGCAGGCACCCCAGGTGCAAGCTGAGGGCAGCAGCTTGACTGGCTAATACTGAGCAGGTGGTGGGGCAAGGGCCTGCCCCTCCCCCAGGCCTCAGGGCCTTTTGCAGTAATCACCAGGGGCTGGTGAAGCCCCTCGGAGCCCCACTGGCACCTCAGAATCACAGTGTTACTGATCAGGGAGTGAGGCTGCTGTTATGGGGAAGGGGAGGGGTGGGCAAGTCTGTCTTCCTTTGCTAACTTGGGGTTTTGAGCGGGGTGGGGTGTGGCTGTGGTTTCCCTACTTCCCAGGAGCCTTGCTTCTCTTCTCTCAGACCCAGCCTGCTGAGCTATTGAGGGGGCAGAGGGAAGGTGGCCCTGACATCGACCCTGGCCTCTGCAGATGCTAGTCCTTCCTGGGGCTTGAGGAACTGGGGTCAGGCCAGGCAGGGGCCACGGTGCTTGCTGGGGACGGGGCCTGCAGAGTCTTAGTTACTGGTTTCATTTGCCATAAGTCTAGGTTTGTTACATTGGTTTCCCAATTAAAAACATTGACTTCTTGTCCTGTGTGAAGTTAGTGTCCACAGGCGGATGGTGCAGGGCATTTCAGAGAACATCTGTTCTTTAGGGCAAAAAGCACTTGGCACTCACGCTCCAGGGTGAACCCCCCCCTGTGAGCCTCCTTCTTCTGTCCCCTCCATGTCTTCCTGCAGCAGGGGCCTTGAGTTGGCCCAGACCATCAGACAAGTACATTACGGGCTTGGGCTCAACTCCACACCACTTCCCTATGCCAGTTCCGTGGGCAATGCCCTCCCTCTCCCAACGGGTGGGCAGGATTGTAAGCAGGGGCCTGGGCAGCAGGGTGCATGGGTTGAGGCCCTGCGCTGGTGGGGATGAGGCACTCCACGGCTTGGTTTCAGCAAGGACTGAAGCAGAGGAAGGATTTAGATAGAAGGAACTGGTGGGGCAGAGGCGCCCAGCTGGTGTGGGGGTGTGGGTTGGGGGGCTGTTCCAGCTGGGGGGTGCGAGGAGCATGGCTCACTACCCTGCTGGGTAACAAGGTTTGAGGGCTACTGACTTGCCAGGAGGGTATCATCTGAGCTCATGTTGCCACCCAGGCCTCCACATTTTTAAAATTTACTATTTTTTAAAAGATTCATTTATTTGAAAGGCAGAGGAATAGAGAAGGAGAAGCAGAGGCAGAGAGAAGTCTTCCACCTACTGGTTCACTCCCCAAATGGCCACAACAGTCAGGGCTAGGCCACACCGAAGCCAGGAGCCAGGAGTTTTTCATGGTCTGCTACGTGAGTGCAGGAGCCCAAGCACTTGGGCCACCCTCTGCTGCTTTTCCAGGCACGATAGCAGGGAACTGGGTCAGAAGTGGAGCAGCTGGGACTCTAGCCAGCGGCCATATGTGATGCAGGTGCTGCAGACAGCTTAACTTGCTACGCCATGGTGCTGGCCCCAGGCCTCCAATTTCTTTTTAGGTAATACCCTTGCCATGCTGTGGCATAGCCAGTTAAGCCCCTTCCTGCAATGCTGGTATCCCACATGGGTGCCAGTTTGGGTCCTAGCTGCTCCACTTCTGATCCAGCTCCCTGATAATGCCTCTGGGAAAGCAGCAGAGGGTGGCCTAAGTGCTTGGGCCTCTGCACCCACGCAGCATACCAGGAGAAAGCTCCTGGCTCCTGGCCTGGGGCTGGCCCAGCCCTGGCCATTGCAGCCATTTTAGGGGAGTGAACCAGTGGATGGAAGATTTGTGTCTATCTCTCTCTAACTCTGCCTCTCAGACAAATAAATCTTTTTTTAAAAAATAGGTTCAGCATTACAGAAAAATTGTGAAGATACTTCTCTATTGACATGCATTAATATGATGCATTTATTTGTTAAAACTAATGAAACAATGCATTGTTTAAAGTTCATACTTGATATAGACTTCCTTAATTATACCTAAGTTCCTTTGTGTGTGTGTGTGTGTGTGTGTGTTAAAGATTATTTTGAAAGAGCTACAGAGAGAGGGAGAGACAGAAAGGGATCTTCCATTTGCTGGTTCATTCCCCAGATGGCTACAACAGCCAGGAGTGGGCCAGGCCAAAGCCAGGAGCTTCTTCCAGGCCTGCTACATGGATGCAAGGGCTCAAGCACTTGGGCCATCTTCCATCTGCTGCTCTTCCCAGGCCACTAGCAAGGAGCTGGATCTGTAGTGGAGCAGCCAGGACTCAAATTGGTGCGCACATGGGATGCGGTGTCAGGCGGCTTAACTTGCTCTGCCACACCACCGACTCCTGGTTCCTTGTTCTGTTCTGGATTCTGTATCAGCATCTAGTCTCACATCTTTGTGGGCTTCTCTGGACTGACTCCCAGACTTGTGTTGTGATGGTTCCCTGACGGTTTGAGGAACACGGTCAGGGATTCTGTAGAACTGTAGAACCGTATGGTGTCTGTTTGAGTCCTAGCTGCTGTGCTTCTGATGCAGCTCCCTGGGAAAGCAGCAGAAGATGGCCCAAGTTCTTGGGTCCCTGCACCTTTGTGAGAGACAGATGCAGTTCCAGGTTCCTGGCTTTGGTCTGGCTCTGGCCTGGCCATTGTGGCCATTCAAGGAGTGAACAGCAGATGGAAGACATCTGTAACTCTGCTTTTCAAATAAACTTTTTCTTTTTGCTAAAAACTATGGGTTGGTGGGTTTTTTTGTTTGTTGAGAGTCAGAGAAACAGAGTCCCTTAATGCCTGTAGTGGTTCAATGGCCAGGCTGGCCTGGGGCCAGGAGGTAGGAACTCAATCCAGGCCTCCCACGTAGGTGGCAGGGATTCAAGTAATTGGGCTATCATGTACTGCCTCTGAGGAACTGAACCAGCCAGGCACTCCGCTGGTAGACCAAATGGCCATCCCAGGTTATGGATTTTTTTTTTTTTTTTTTTTTAAAGAAAGACCACAGGTTGCCCAACAGGAAGGGGAATGAAGAGAGGGGGTATACCTCAGGGCTTAAAGGCGAAAGGAGTTGCTGGCAATGGTTAATTTCCCACCCACAGTGAAGTTCTCCATGAAGCAGAGTGGTTAAGATCGAAGGTAGATGGGGGGAAGATTGCACAACCAAACTACCAAGTTGACCTTTCTGTGCATCGGTTCCCTGACCTTGGGAGATAAATGCTCATGAGTGAGGTAGGGGTTGGCTGTTGTGGGGCAGCAGGTTAAGCCACTGCCTGCAATGCTGGTATCCCACACTAAAAACACCGGTTAGACTCCTGACTGCTCTGCTTCAGGTCCTGCTAATGTGCCTGGGAAAGCTGCAGACTATGGCTTAAATAACTGGCTCACGTCACACAGTGGGGAGAGCTGGATGAAGTTTCTGGGTCCTGGTTTCGGCTGTTGTGGCCATTTGGGAAGTGTGAAAGGCCACCACAAACACACCAAACACCAGAGTAAGGGAAAAGGTTTATTGTCGGGTGAGGGGAACCCGACAGGCTGCTGCCCCATGCACAGAACAGCAGCCTGTGCTGGAGAACAGGGCTTATATAGCTTTGCAGAGGTAAGGAAGTGGGAGCGGCAAATCCCATTAGGGTGGGTGTGGAGCTGACACTTGTGATTGGGCCACTTGGTCACCTGACTTCAAGCCAGGCTGGGCTTAGGAAGATGGCACTATTTTACTAACAAAGTGAACCAGCAGATGGAAGATCTCTCTCTCTCTCTCCACCTCTCCATCGTTCTGCCTTTCAAATAAATATAACTTTTTAAAAAAGAGCTAATGGAGCTACGAATTAGAACAATGGCTGTCACCTATTAAGAACTCAGTGGACACTAGCTATTTACTAGGAAACTGAAAGTTTGCCTGGAAGAAGAGATTTGAGTCTGATGATGCTTTCCCTTCCCTGGGAAAGGCAGGTACTTCCATTGTCACCTCAACTCTGCCAAAGTACAGTAGCCCCAACTTGCCTGCAGCTTCCACAGTTTCACTCTGTAGCCAATCCAAAATATCAAAAATAAGAAAACCCCAAATAAACAAGTCACAGATTTTCATTGCTCGTTTTGAGTAGTGCGATGCAATCTCGCTGTCCCCTGTGCCCTGCGCTTCGTTCAGCACATCCACACCATATATGCAACCTCCCGAACAGTGCAGTGCTGTCGCTTATAAAGTCCCAAGGCACAGGAACAATGATGCAGAAGATGCACCAGGCCATACAACGTGGGAGCAGGGGGTTAACACCATGGCATCACTGCAGGGCATACAGGAAAACATAGAATATGCTCGCCTCCGGTTCGGTACTGTCTACAGTCCCCGGCGCCCATTGCGGGGTTTGGAATTGATCCCCGCAGAGACGGGGATGGCTTTTTGTTCTGAGTGGACGCGCGCTTTCCCCTTTCATCCTCATACAGACTAGGAACCACATATACACCTAGGTGAGGACATGCTCGAATTGGCAGAGCCTGGTTCCCAGCGCCTGCTCTGGGGAGTCCCTGGCCTTGGCCCGGCCGCCCGAGCTTGTGCAGGGTAAGACTGAGTGGAAGTCTGCGATCTCAGTCCAGTCCCAGCCCAGTGACTTGCTGGGCGTCCTGGAGGCGGCGAGGACTTGGCCCGCGCGGAACCTTGGAGGCGCGGCTCGCGGCGCGGCCGGAGCGGCGGACCCGGCGGACCCGGCGGACAAGGGGGGCGGGGCGGCCGGGCCTGGGCGGGGCGGGAGGCGGAGGCGCCGCGTAGGCCCGGGAGGCCGGGCGGCCGGGCAGGGAGCGCGAGCCCCATGCGGCGCCGTTTGCCCCCACGATGTTCCCCTCCCGGAGGAAAGCGGCGCAGCTGCCCTGGGAGGACGGCAGGTGAGCGGCGGCGGCGGCCGGAGCGGGCCGCTCCTTTCGGGACCGCCCAGCGGAATCTGGGAGCCGGACGGAGCTCGTCGCGTCTCCCGTCTCCGCGGGTCTCTTGAGGGTCTGTGGTCCTCCCAGTGGGTCGCTGTGTGTAGGGTCTCTCGCTCCCCGTTTCTCTGGTCCTTCCTTTCCCATCATGCGTCTCCTTGCGTGTCCGTGTTTCTCCGCCGGCCTCTCCCGCCATCTGGCCGTGGGTCCGACTCGGTTGAGCCCGCGCAGTGGACCCCCGCCGTCGGCTCTTTCTCTCCTCTTCGAGGGTCTGTGTTGCCTTTCTCCGTGGCCTCGAGCTCGGCCTGTCTTCGCTCCTGCTTCCCCGGCCGTTGCAGAGGAACGCGCCGACAGCTCGGTCGGTTGCCGTGTGTGCGGCGTGGGCTGGCGCAGACCTTAGCTCCTGGCGGCTCGCGTTAACGCAGAATGGGGACAGCGGCACTTCCGGCTTCAGCCGTGTCCCCCAGGTTCTCACGAACACGGGGTAGTGATCTCCGCGCCTCATTCCCTTACTCGCCCTCGTTCGCCCGGCGCCGAAGACTGGGACTTAGTGGGCACAGCCATGTAGAGAGAGAGATCTGCTATCTGCTTCACTTCCCATGTGTCCCCAGTAGCCAGGCTGCACAGGCCCCACCAGGTCGAAACCTGGCCTGGAACTCTCACGTAGGTGGCAGGGCCCCGGGCGCTGGAGCCACCACTGCTGCCTCCCATGGTGTGCATTTGCAGGAAGCAGAGCCGGGACTGGAACGTAGGCACCCCAGAACCGGGACTGGAACGTAGGCACCCCAACATGGTATGCAGTTGTCCCAAGCTGTCTTTTTTGTTTTTTTAAGATTTTTAAAATTTATTTGAAAGTCAGAGTTACACAGAGAGAGGAGAAGCGGAGAGGGGTCTTCCATCTGCTGGTTCACTCCCCAATTGGCTGCAGCGATCTGAACCCAGGAGCCAGGAGCTTCCTCCGGGTCTCCCATGTGGGTGCAGGGGCCCAAGGACTTGGGCCATCTTCCACTGCTTTCCCAGGCCATAGCAGAGAGCTGGATCGGAAGAGCAGCCGGGACTAGAACCGATGCCCATATGGGATGCCAGCACTTCAGGCCAGGGCTTTGACCCGCTGCGCCACAGTACTGGCCCCCCAGACAGTGTCTTGACCACTGCACCAACCCTGTGTCCCAAGAATCCTATTTAATTATGTGACAGAACAGAGCACTTAATCTTTCTGCCCTCAGCCTGTCCATCTCTCTCCCAGGGATTATCATATCTGTACGCTGCAGAGGCCTTGTGGGGATTAGCGGAGATCATATATGCAAAACCCTTGGCATAGGGCTTACGCCTCCACAGGGGAGGTGACAGTTACCTTGGCACTTTTGAGGTGCCGTAACCAAAGCAGCTGGGTCGTCCAGATCTTGTGTCACAAGGGTTTGAATGAGAGAAGAAAGGAAAAGGTATTGGAGGTGTTTCTGTTTTCAATCCCTTTCCATGACTGTTCCCAGAAAATTTACCAGGGCCAGTTCTGTGCCCCTGACACGGGTGCAAGCACCCGTGCCACAGCTGCAGGCTGGGGTGACAGTTGAATGCTGGCTCTGGAGCCAGGCTGCCTGGGTCGGAATCCACCTCTTAGTAGCCCTGGTCAGTGACTGATAAAGGAGACAAAGCCTCATCTGGACAGCCCCTCAGAACCAGGTGGCCTGGGCCTGGCAGAGCTGGGTCCGCAGATGCGCGGCTCGCCACCAGGTGGCGCCAGGAGCAGCTGTTCGCAGTGTCCACTGGCTCCTTTCGGGCGCTCAGCAGTCTGGGTCCTTAGAGCACAGGGTGAGTGTCTGTGAGGAGGTGATCCTGGTAGGGAGTGGAACCCGGAGGGAGGGAACGGAGCGTGAAAGTGCATGCAGGCCCAGAGCACGCCAGGCTCCTGGGTAATGCCCACTACTTCTCCCAAAGGAGGGATACGATCCCATATCTGTCTCCCCCGCCTTCGCCCCGCCCCGAGAAGGAGCCCAGAGGGCGAGGGAGGCTCTGTAGAGCTTCCAGCCTTCCCAGACCACTTGCGGGCCTGGCCTCTGCGCCTGTGCGGCGGAAGCCACCTCCACAGGACGACGGGGGGTAAGTGAGAGGCCCTGAGATGGCGTCCTAGCGGGCCTCGCTGTGTGGAAGGCCAGGCCGGGCTGCACGGCTGCTGGCTTCTAGGTTGGCAGTTGTGTCTCTAGAAGTTGTTGGTCTGGCTTTCGTGTGTGGCTGAAAGGGTGCCCTGACAGCTTTACCCTGCCTGTAACTTGCTTAGCGAGCCCTCTGCTGTGTGGCCTGTGCACTGGGACCGCAGACAGGAATCTACATGGCCCGACAAGCCGGTTACACGTGACACCAAAGGGAAGGCCCGAGGAGAGGACATGGTGGAGGGGGCAGTGCTGGCCGTGGGCCGGGACTTCCAGGCGGGTAAAGAAGGCCACTCGCGGTGAAGGAGCAGGCCGGGTGGGGGAAGGCAGCTGGGTGGCCTGTGTCTTATAAACTGGGGAAGATCACAGCATTGGTGGGCATTGGTGGGCTTGGTGGGCGGCGTTAGGTCCAAGGGGCACTTAGGCCGGGGAGCACACACGCCTGGTAGCTAACTGCTGAGCTGTAGGAGTTGCAAGGGGGTTGCTTTGCAGTGTTTTGGGACTGGGAGGAAGCATAGAAGAGGTTGCCCTCCTCTGGGTTCTTACCCTGTAGGCAGGCCCAGGAACCAGGCGCATTTCAGCCGTTTCTCTGTTAGCCAGAAGAACAGACCCCACATCAGCCCCGTGTCTGAGATACTCAGTCTCTGAGATGAGCCTGGGTGCTCTAGCCAGCCCTTGTCTTCCTTCCCTCTTGGGTCCCTCATTCCTTTGTCACATGGGCTGTCACTGAGACTTGTCCGGTGAACCGCTCCTGTCCATTCGGGCCTTTCGCTGCTGGTCACCTCGCCTGGGCCTGATGCCAGCTCGTGTCCCTGTCTTGCGGGGGGGGGGTTTCTGGGATGAAGCCAGGCCTTCTGCTGGGGTGAAGGTGCTGGAAGCAGGTTTGGGAGCAGTGGGCCGCACCTCTCTGAGGTGGGGCTGCTGCCTTTGACTCTGGACGTCGAGCCACTGTGGTGGGGAGGGCAGGTGCACTGAGGAAGCAGGGCAGCTCTGCCGCCTGGAAACGGAGGGCTTCCCTGGAGGGGGTGGGGCACGGCGGGGCCTCCAGTGGGGGGCAGGTGTCTGAGCCCAGTAGAAGTCTCAGCAAGAGCGTCCCAGTTGCTTCTGCACTAATTCCAAGGCGCTTGGAGGGATCAGTCACATGTGCCCCACCTGTCGGGAGGCCAGAGGCCCTGCCTGGCCCTGTCCGCCCGACTTCGTCCCTGCTCTTGTCCCAGGTCCAGGTTGCTCCCCAGCGGCCTCTCCCGGAAGTGCTCCGTCTTCCACCTCTTCGTTGCCTGTCTCTTATTGGGCTTCTTCCCCCTACTCTGGCTGCAGCTCAGCTGCTCCGGGGACGTGGCCCGGACAGCCGGGGGACAGGGACAGGAGACCCCGGGCCCACCCCGGGCCTGCCCTCCAGAGCCACCTCCTGAGCTCTGGGAAGAAGATGCGTCCTGGGGCCCTCACCGCCTGGCCGTGCTGGTGCCCTTCCGTGAACGCTTCGAGGAGCTCCTGGTCTTTGTGCCCCACATGCACCGCTTCCTGAGCCGGAAGAAGATCCAGCACCACATCTATGTGCTCAACCAGGTGGATCACTTCAGGTAGGGACTGCCTCCTGACCCCACGCCCCATCCCCTGGGCCCCCCGCCCTTGCCTGGCAGCAGCCCGGGGCCCCGGGAACCTCAGACCTGTGGCAGGCCACCTGGTGCAGTGGCGGGAGGCGGGAGGCGCAGCCCCTCTCACTGAGGAACTTTGGGGAGGGCCCTGATCTAGTCTCCGTGTTAAATGGCTGTTTCTGAGCATCTGGGGAAAAACACACTCAGGGTGGTACACATCCTGCCACTGGGTGTGCAGGGATTGCACACGCATGGGCAAGTAAGCAGGAGGTTCTGCAGGGGTGCCAGCTGGGGGTCCTTGAACTCAGGGCACTTCCCAGGGAGGGTCAGAGCCCACCAGATTGCCCCCTCCTCCAGACACCAGTAGCGAGGTCCAGCCTGGGCAGCTCTGACCTGCCAGCTGCCCGTCAGGGTTCCCACAGTTCCCTCCTCGAGATGGTGAATTACTAGAGCGTCTCGCGGGGCTTGGGGAGGCACTGTGCTTACCCTCACCAGTTTATCGTAAAGGAAATACTAAAAGCTACAAATGAGCAGCCAGAGGAGGTAGGACACAAGGTGGCGAGTGCAGAAGCTTCCGTCCCTGTTGAGTGGGTGCACACCCTCGGCTCGTGAAGGACTTCTTGTTCACCTTCCTGTGGGCTATCGTGTGTTCAGACGCTCCATGAACCGTGTCCTTTGGGGTCTGATGGTTTGTTTTAAAGATTTATTTATTTATTTAAAGGCAGAGTTAGAGAGAGAGAGATCGATCTTCCATCTGCTGGTTCACTCCCCAGAAGGCCACAATGCCTAGGGCTGGGTCAAGCCAAAGTCAGGAGCCAGGAGCTTCATCTGGATCTCCCACGTGGGTGGCAGGGGCCAAACACTTGGGCCGTCTGCTGCTTTTCCTAGGCCATTAGCAGGGTGTTGGCTCGGAAGTGGGGCAGCCGGGACTTGAAGTGACATCCAGGTGGAACGCAAGTGTCTTGGCTTAGCCTGCTGCACCACGATGCCGCTCCCCCCACCCCACCCTTTTGGTCTTTATGGAGACTTCATTGCATAGGCATCATTGAAGCATGGACAGCCGTGTGGAAACGTGATTGGATTGGACAAAAGGGGTCTGAGCTAATGCCAATAATCTGAGGGGACAACCCAGCAAGGCCTCTCTGGGCAGTGTTCCTTCCTTCTCGATTCTGAAGTGAGGGGGCTTATGACCCACTGCCATCAGAAAGGGAGTTTCTTTTTGTCTGTTCATATTTATTTGAGAGAAAGAGAAACTATCTTCCATCTCCTGGCTTATTCCCTGGCTTTGACCAGGCCAGATGAAAGCCGGGAGCCAGGAACTCCATCCAGGTCCCCGACGTGGGTGGCAGGGACTCAAGCCCATGAGCCATGACCTGCTGCCTCCCAGGTGCACATTAGCAGGAAGCTGGATCAGAAGCATTGTAGCCAGGCCTCGAACCAGCCACTCCACTATGGGCTGCAGGTGTACTAAGCGGTGCCTTAACCCCTGTGCCACAGTGCCCTCCCCAGACCAGATAATTTCTTCATAGCCAGCTCCAAGACAGAAGGGTGGGAGAAGATTAAAGTGGGACATGCCTTGGGGCAGAGAAATTCTAGTTTGTGTGGCCTGTCTTAGAGCTAAGAGCCAGGAACCATGGACAAAAGCCAAAATATATAAGCTGTAGTGTCACACTGCTGTGTGCGGGGTAGATTATTCCAGGACAAGAGACAACGCCAGAGGCCCAGCCGATGGTCACTGCAGCGTCTGGGATGACCAGGTGTGGTAGCAGGAGGAGGCGGAGAGAAGGGAGGAGGGGAAAGCACAGATGGTGCAAGGGAGGGTCAAGGCCGTGGCTTTAAAGCTGTCCACAGCCTGGCGCTGCCTGAAGTCCTCACTCTCACCAAAACTGCGCCCCTCTGTGGTCATCGCACACTCCCACCCTGCCTCCTTGGGAGAGACTCAGACACTTGAGTCCTTGGATCCTCCCCCTCTCCAGCCCCAGGCCCAGTCTCCTCACCCTGCCCGGAGTCTACAGCCCTCCCAGAAATCTCTCCCTCCCGTCCCCCTCAGCCCCCAGCCCCCAGCCCCGTCCTGCCTGGCCTAACCCCGGCTTGACCGAATCTGACTCTGCCTGCTCTGCACTGCCCCTGGGCAGCTGGGGGTGGCCCCCGACACTGCCCATCGCTGTTTGGCTCCCTGACCCTGAGCGCTGACCCAAGAAGGCACTCAGTCCTGCCGGAAGCCTCGTGTCCCGCCAGCCTGTCTGCAGCTGGTGCTCAGCCCCTGTGCTCCTGCCCTCTAGGGCGGCTGTCCTAGCTCCTGCCGCCCTTGGACACTGCACCCCTCTCCCTCCCTGACGGCACCCCAGCACGTGGCCCTGTCCTGGAGTGTTCACACCAGCACATGGCTGTACTGAAACTGCTCCATTCTGAAGTGAGAAAGACAGCCCCGACCCCCCAGCGCCCACAGCGCCCAGTCACCGCGCTTCTTTCCCCTTTGCTCCCTCCTTCTCTCGTGGACCTGTTGCACCCAGATGCTCACCCCCAGCGCGCAGCTGAGCCGGCTGTCTTGAGATCACCTCCACCCTGTAAACCCCAAGGCCATCCCGAGCCAAGTGGACGGCGCGGACGGCTCCTTCCCTCCCAACACACCTCCACCTGGCGAGTGGGACAGCCCTCGCCGACCAGCCCTGCTCACCCCCTGGGCTGGTTCTGCCCCATCTCCCTCAGCTCAGCACTGGTGCCCCCTGGGCTCAGTGCTTGATGTCAGCCCCGCTTCTAGTTGTGGTCACTCACTGTCTAGGCGCGTGGCTTTATCTCCCGTCTCCCTGCTGCTTCCTGGGTCTGCTCTCCCTTCCTGGGCTACAGACCTCTCTCCCGAAGCCCAGACTTGCACATCCAGCTGCCCGGGCAGCCTTGCACTCGGTGCCCTCTGAGGCCTCGGCTTGACATGCTCACAGCTGAGTTTCTGATGGCCCACTCCACCCTGGTCCTGCTTCCCACCTTGCCCTTCCCGTTCCAGGAAATGGAACTCCATGCCCCCAGTGGGCCAGGCTGAAGCCAGGAGCCAGGAACTCCATGTGGGTCCCCTGCACACATGGTGGGGACTCAAGTACTTGGGCCATCATTTGCCACCTCCTGGAGTGCACGTCAGAAGGAAGCTGCATCCGAAGCAGAGCTAGGACTTGAACCAGGCCCTCTGATGTGGGATGCAGGCATCCCAGGAAGGGACTTCATTGCCTTGCCAAACTCCCCACTGTCCTCTCCCCGTCTGCCTGCTTACGTATTTATGAGAATTTCCGCTCCCTGAGGGCAGGGCTTTGCATTCTCAGTGCTGTGTCTCCGGTGCTGACCAGGGTCTGGCACATAGCAGGTACTCAGTAAGCACTGGAGAGATGAGTGGAGCGGAGTCAGCACTGTGCCAGGGCGGGAGCCAGTTCGCCACCCCCACCCTGCCTTGGCCGCCCTACACAGGTTCAACCGGGCAGCGCTCATCAACGTGGGCTTCCTGGAGAGCAGCAACAGCACAGACTACATCGCCATGCACGACGTGGACCTGCTGCCTCTCAACGAGGAGCTGGACTATGGCTTCCCCGAGGCTGGGCCCTTCCACGTGGCCTCCCCGGAGCTCCACCCACTCTACCACTACAAGACCTACGTGGGCGGCATCCTGCTGCTCTCCAAGCAGCACTACCAGCTGGTGAGGCCCCGGGGAGGCGGTCAGGAGCCAGAGCAGTGCCTCCAGGCCGGCAGCAGCCAGAGATGTGAGAGGAACAGGAGTGAACAGGCGGCTGCTGCAGAAACAGAAGCCCCGGTGTCACAGAGAGCAGGGGCGGGAGGCCTGGCTTCGGGCATGGGTGACCCCGCCTGGCAGTGTGCGCAGGACTCGGTCTCTGCCCTCCGCCAGCTCTGCCGTCTGGCACTGGGTTTATTTTCAGGCGTGCAGGACAGGAGCTTGTGACTGCAGTTGTAGGCATCGAGGCCTCATCAGGTGGAAGAGGGAGTCCCCTTCCCAGCAGCCCAGCCAGGAGTCCCAGCCCTGAGCCACACTGGCTCCTGATTGGGCCAGCCTGAGGCCTGGCCCCATCCTGGAGTCAGTGTAGCTGGGGGCTCGGGGGTGGTGCGCTGGGAGGAGCTTAGGCCGGGGGCTTCTGTATCTACACACCATGGCTGAAGCCCCTGGATGGGTGCAAAAGCAGGTGTCATCACAGGCCTGGCACGCAGGAAGAGCTGTGGGAGTGTGGGGAGGAGGCAGAAGTCGGTAGGCCTTGGCCCTGCAGCTGGTCCGTGGCTGCCCTGAGAGGTCCCCTGCCAGTCGGGTGGTCTGAGATGCTGATCGTCCCCACAAGGCCAAGACCAGGGAGAGGGACTGGGATATGCTGAGTGTCCATCTGCCCCGAACCCGCAGGGGGCAGCCGGCATTCACCAGGCTCAGGCTGGGCGGGAGGAGAGCAGCTGGGGTGAGTGACACTGCCCGTCTCTGGCAGTGTAACGGGATGTCCAACCGCTTCTGGGGCTGGGGCCGCGAGGACGACGAGTTCTACCGGCGCATCAAAGGAGCTGGGCTCCAGGTGAGCAGCCCTGGGTTCCCTCCTCACCCTGGGTGACACCTGCCCCCACCCCACCCCGACCCTGACCTGCGGGGTCATCTCACCAGTCCTTGCCCTCTGTACTCCATCTGCTTATCTGAGGATGGGAATCCTGTGGCCTCCCAGCGGGCACTGGGGCCCTGAGGAGCTCATGGTGGGGGCCAGGACTCCAGTAGGGGTGGCCTGACCCCGCTGTCTTTGGCCTCCTTAGCTTTTCCGCCCTTCGGGGATCACAACTGGGTACAAGACTTTTCGCCACCTGCATGACCCTGCCTGGAGGAAGAGGGACCAGAAGCGCATCGCAGCCCAAAAACAGGTGCCGGCTGGTTTCCCCGGGTGGTAGGTGGGGCTGTGGGGGCCCAGCAGGCCCGAGCTGCTCACCAGGCCCTCCGCGGGCCCTCTTGGCCCAATGCTCCCTTGCAGGGCCCAGGTCAGTAGGTAGGCATTCATCTCAAACTGTGTTTGGCTCTGCCCTCTGGTGGGCGTCCTGGGCACTGTGGGTCAGCCTAGACCTCAGGGTCCACACAGACCGGGAGGTGGGGTAGGCTCAACCGAGGGTGCCAGAATCCCAGGGGGACCCCTGAAATGGGTCTTCTCCAGCAGGCCTGTTCTCCCAACAGGCAGGTCCTCGCTTCCCTGTCCACCCGTGCCCACAGCCTCAGGCAGGGGTCCTGTCTGTGGGGAGCACAGGCCCCCCGACCACAGGCTGTGCAGGATTGCTGGGCGGCACCCCCGAAGCCCCGAGTACATGCTCTCTCCTCCATCCCTTCCCAGGAGCAGTTCAAGGTGGACCGGGAGGGAGGCCTGAGCACTGTGCGCTACCGCGTGGATTCTCGAACAGCCCTGTCGGTGGCCGGGGCCCCCTGCACCGTCCTCAACATCATGTTGGACTGTGACAAGGCCGCCACCCCCTGGTGCACGTTCAGCTGAGGTGCTTGACAGGAAAGAAGGCCACGCTGACAGTCATGGAATGAAGCCTCAAGCCTTGGGCCCAGCTCTGATAGGCAGTGGAGTGGCCCCTCGCCCCTGCCAGCCAGCTCCATGTGGGTGGCAGCCCAGCCCCCAGAGGCAGGCTTGAGCTGGGACGCGACACAGGGACGCTGCTGGCAGTAGACAGTGATTCACTGGAGAGGGGCCGGGCAGTGGCTCCTCACTGGGGCTCTCCCCGCCCTGCCCTGCCCTCCTGTGTGCTGTGACCGTGGGCAGTGGGCAAGGCTGAGTACAGCGACCTCCAGTCAACCTCACCTCGTTCCTTCCCATTCAGAAGCCTGGGAGGCGTGGGACTGCAGAGAGCGAGCACTGGACCCACAGAAGGGCACAGCCCACGCCGGCTCTGGCTGCTGGTGGCCACGCAGGAATGTGGCCTGGAGTCACCTGACTTCCACAAGAAACTGGAATGCTGGATTACTCAGTGAAATCTGGTTTTTAAGTGATAGCAACTAACTGAAACTTGAAAAAAGTATGGCAGGCTGGACGAGTGCTGGCTCGTTGGTTTGTCACCTTTGACTGAGGGAGGGGAGGCGGAGAACCAACTCAGTTATGAGCCGGCCAGGGCTTGGGGTGGGGCAGGGGCCAGGGCCAGCGGGGCCAGGTAGGAGGAGAAGCCAGGGGCTCGGGGTCTGGGACCACCTCCTCCCCACCCTCTGGGCTCCGTGGCTGCCCCCCTGGGGTCTGAGCCCCTGCAGGCTCCACCTGGCTGTGCTGTGATGGGGGAGGGTGCTTCACCCTGCCTCTGAAGGAAGGCTGTGCTGCAGACCAACAGGCCAAGGCTTACAGGAGGGGGAGTAGGACGGGGAGAGTCCCGCCGTGCCCCCAAGGCATAAGGGGAGAGGACCTGTGACCTCCGTGGAGCATGAAGAAGGCCAAGGGAGACCATGGAGTTAGGGTGTGGGCTTGGGGGAAACCTACAAGGCAGTAGACTTTGGAAGATTTGAGGCAGAAGCCAGAGGAGGCTGTCGGGGCCCCTGCCCCGGAGAAGGGGGGTGAGGCCGCAGAGTCCAGTGGGGTGGAATCGACAGCCCAGGCCCAAGGGGCTCCCCTGAAGGTGACCATGTACAGTAGCATGGGTTGTGTACTACACAACTGGTTATCAGCTGACAGATGGAAGCAGAAACGGCTGGGGGTAAAGCTTCCAGATCAGAGGTTCAGTCCAGGCTCCCTGACTACCCAGCAGTTCAGCCGCATGGCTGCAGTGAGGAGCCAGCATGCTGGGAAGAGGCCGGGGCGCCCTCTGCCCGTCTCCTGGCAGCCCCACCTGCCGCTGCGTGGGCTCCATGTCACGTGGGGACAGCTGTGATACAAAAGCCCCGGCCCCACCCCTGGCACCTAGACTTCAAAAGCCAGGCGGTCCCTTCCTTGCCACCTGCACTGGGGCAGTACATCCCCAACCCTGTGCTCCACACTGCCCCATGACCGCTGTCACCAACCCCATCATTGAGGCACCATGGGCACCCCGGGCTGGTCCTGGTGCAGCCCCCTCCTGGGCCTCCACCACTCGCTGTGACTGGCACGGGAAAGAAGCTGGTGGCTCAGGCTGGGTTTGTCTTCTTCATGGAGTGGCCCTGACCCCTGCCTCACTGGCCAGGGCGTGGGGAAACTTGCAGGAGCACCTGGCCCGGCGCCTGGCCAGCATGGCCACACTCGCTGAACCTTCCCCACCCACACGTCTTCCCGTGGTGGTATTTCCCTGAGCCCTCGCCCTTAGAACTTGGCCCTGTGGTTAAGATTTTTTAATTTTTTTATTTTGACAGGCAGAGTGGACAGTGAGAGAGAGAGAGACAGAGAGAAAGGTCTTCCTTTTTCCGTTGGTTCACCCCCCAATGGCCACTGTGGCCGGCGCACCGCACTGATCCGAAGCCAGGAGCCAGGTGCTTCTCCTGGTCTCCCATGCGGGTGCAGGGCCCAAGCACTTGGGCCATCCTCCACTGCACTCCCTGGCCACAGCAGAGAGCTGGCCTGGAAGAGGGGCAACCGGGACAGAATCCAGCGCCCCAACCGGGACTAGAACCCGGTGTGCTGGCACCGCAGGCGGAGGATTAGCCTAGTGAGCTGCAGTGCCAGCCTAAGATTTATTTATTTACCTGGAAGGCCTAGTGACAGGGAGGGAGAGAGAGAGAGCTTTATTCCACTGGTTCACTCCCCAAATGGCCTTAACAGCCCTGAAGCCAGGAGCCTGGAACTCCCTCCAGGTCTCCCACGTATATGCAGGGTTCCAAACACTTGGGCCACCTTCAGCTGCTGTCCCAGGTGCATCGGCAGGGAGCTAGATTGGAAGTTGAAAAGTTGGGACTCGAACCAGCACTGTGATATGGGATGGCGGCATGGCTAAACTCACCGTGCCATGGTGCCAGTCCCTTGGTCCTGTTTATTCACCTGTTGCAGAGAGGAGCAAGGCAGAGCTCAGAGAGGTGAGGGGTTTGCCTGGGTCACAGAGCTGACAAGTGGCAGGGCCTGGGCTGTACACCTGGACTCAGCCTTCAGAGCAGCAGGTGCCTGTGTACAGAGAGGGGCTCCTTCCTCTCTGGGCCCGTTCTTCTCCCCAGCCACAGAGGGCAGGTGGGAAGGGCTGGCCAAAGGGCTTTGGTGTCCTGCCTCTGGGAAGAAAGCGGGACCACAAAGGAGATGCAAAGTATCCCTCTGGGACTTCTCTGCCCCAAGGAAAATGGGGGTCCCCTGGGGCTGGGGGCAGGGGGTGGGCGACATGCTGCTGGTGGAGTCAGAGATGGCCACTCAGACTGGGAACTGTGGGTGACAGGCAGAGAGGGGTGGAGTGAGCACGCTGGAATCGGGCCTGGCAAGTCATTGGGGGTGTTCCTGCCGCCCCAGCAGTGTACAGGAGCAGCAGCTTAACCTACTGCACCACGCTGGCCTCTGCCAGCGTGCTTTTCTAGTGAAAAACAAAAGGAAAAGCAATGTCTGCTTCCAGCACCAACACATCAAGAACTTGGAGGTCATTGCTCGCATCCTTACAACAACAAAATGGACCAACAGACTGCAAAGCGAGTTGTCTTGGACTCACGGGAGAACTGGGGCTGCGGGGCCTGGGCAAGTCCAGTCAGAGCTGCAGCCAGCTTCCCTGCTGTAGATGCTGGTGCAGCCACACACCGCCGAGAACATTGATGCTGACTGTGACGCCGGTCGGGGATGGCTGCGGGCCAAGTGAAGTCCCCTCCAGCCTCGGGCAGACCCGGCACTGTCTCCATGGCCTACTGTCCCAGAGAAGGATGCTAGAGCCCATCTCACCGAGGGGGCGGGGCGCTTACCCAGCTCCACTGCCCGCTTCCCAAGCAGGGGAGGGACAGGGCTAGGAGACACATGTGAGGTCACAGCCAGGGGCATGGGTCCCCTGCAAGACTGAGATGCAACCACGGTAAATGCGTCCCCTGCCCCAAACCTGCCCACTGCACCAGCAAAGCTGCAGCGCAGCAGTCCTGACTAATGGCTGAGAAGACATTACTGGTTTTTTTGTTTGTTTGTTTGTTTTTTTTAATTAGTCCTTAGGAAACCAAAAGGCCACAGAGGGGACAAAAAAATCAAGAACATCTGAAAGAAGTAAAAATTTAGTTAAAATTAAACCCGAGTCCAAGTCCTAATCAGATGAACACCAGACCGCACCCAACAGTCACTTTCATCATCAGTCACTTTCCCCAGTGACTCACGGCTTACAAGTAAGGCATGCTAACCAGCAAGGAACACACAGATTAGAGACAAAGCAAGCGGCAGTACCCAGCTCAGCTCTGCCACAGAGTTTGCAATTGGTAACCAGGTCCTTGAGAAAGAAGCCAAGAGTGAGCCAGAGAAGAGCAAATAGCAAGCGGCAAGTTCCTACGGGGAAAGTGAACGTGCCTACTCCACGGTCAGGGCGAGGGCTCACTGAGGGGCAGGGGGCTCGTCTCAACTTGCTCATTTTAACATCTATGGGTTAATGCAGGTCTCCTTACCAGGAGGAAGAATTACAGTTTTTCTGAGAAGTAGGTGGCGATTTCCCAGAATCTAGCTGTCGCCTCCTTTCACTCCTTTTTCTGCTATGCCAATTAGCATGCTAGTATTTTTTTGTTTTTTTTGTTTTTTTCAAAAAAAGGTATTTATTTGACAGAGTAGAGGGAGAGGAAGAGGAGAGAGATCTGTCTGCTAGTTCACTCTCCAAATGACTGCAACAGCTGATCTGGTCCAGGTCAAAACTCCAACTGGGTTTCCCGCGCAGGAAATGGGCACCTTTCCAGACAGAACCTGAGAGAGAGTGCCCAGTCGCTTGGACTTGGGGGGGGGGGGTGTTACATGGTTGAGTTTAGAGAATACACCTGGGCAGGCCAGGCGGGCGGCTCAGCAGAGGTAGAGGGCTAAAGGGCTGAGCGCGCAGTCCAGTTGAGGTGGGGGGGGGGGGATGTTAAGGAGATGGGTCTTGCTTCCCCACCTGTGCTCCTCTTGGAACAAAGGGCTTTTTGGATGTAAATAGAAAAAACTTCTGAGTTTTCCCCTGAAGGTATCAGACAGGAGGAAGCCTAGCTGGCACTGTCCTGAGTTTAGAGGAAGGGTGAGCAGGACCCCCTGGAGAATCGGGATCCAGAGCAGGATATTTGAAATGCAGATACTGGGCTGCATTTGGGAGACTGTGGAAGATTTGTCAGGCAGAAGGGGCGGGGACCCCCACCTGGCAGGTTGTCGGGTAGAAGGGGGCAGGGCAGGATACGAATAACAGGCAGCCCCTGAAACGTTATCGGGATGACTTTGAGATGCAGATGCATGTGCTGGACATAGACGTCTTCTCTTTATGTCTGTCACACACACATAAGCTCATATCTGACTTCCTACCTAACACTACGGGTGCTGTGCCACAATGCCAGCCCCAGCATGCTAACGTATTACGATAAGCACGTAATGACCTCACTCAAGGTCAAGCCTGGTCCCATAAACCAGTGTGGACCTGGTCCAGGAGGGCTATCTGTTTATCTCTGGAGCCTAAGAGGGAGCAAACTCACGTCCTGGAGACCTCAAGATAAGCGGAACTGCCCCCAGGTGGCTCAACAGCTCCTTCAGCCTCCCTGTCTCCAGATTAGCAGACATTTAAAATAACTATGACTAATGTGCTAAGGGCTCTGATGGAGAAAGTAGACACCATGAGAGAACAGGTGGGTGATGTGAACAGAAGGGTGGAAACTAATAGTCAAAGCACTGTGACAGAGACAATGCCTTCAAAAACATTTTGTTGAGAGACAGAGACACAGAGAGATCTTCCATCTGTGGACTCACTCCTCAAATGCCTGCAAAGCCAGGGCTGGCCAGGTCAAAGCCAGGAGCCAGGAGTTTAATCTGAGTCTGGAATGTGGGTGGCAGGGACCAAGTACCTGAGCCATCGTGGCATACTCAGGGTGCACATGAGCAGGAAGCTGGAATCAGAAGTAAAGCTGGCACTCTGCGATGGGGCGCAGGCCTCCCAAGTGGTGTCATAACCATTGCACAGGACAGCCACTCCTG